CGATAATCCAATTTTTTTTTCATTTCTTTTATATTGGCCTCCATAAAAAAATTGTATTTGATAATCATTTTAAACAGGTGGATGATCTGGAAAAGTGAAATTATTTGTCATATATATATATATATATATATATATATATATATATATATAATCTATTTAAGAAGTTGCAGAATGAGACTTTACTTTGAGAGGCCAAAATCCAAAAGGGTGGTGATATTTTGCCAACCATAACAACAAACAATTCAAAAAAACAACCCATTTTATTAATATAATAATCATGAAAGAGATTTAATAAAAATGAAAACAAGTTAAAATTATTATTATAATATTAAAAATGGGTTGTTTATTTATTAATATAATAATCATGAAAGAGATTTAATAAAAATGAAAACAAGTTAAAATTATTATTATAATATTAAAAGTGGGTTGTTTATTAAAGTTGTATAAAATTGGGTTGTCAAATATCATTTCTCAATCCAAAAGAGGAAACGGTTGTTGTTGCTGACGTGTCTTGGTCCTGACTTCTTGGCTATTCGACTTACCCAAAAGCTAGGAAGTGAGTGTTTTTCCTAAAATATAATTTTATTTATTTATTTATTAACTTTCACGTGATTTTCTTAATAACCATTTTTAAACATAGTGATAGGCAACCATTCCTTTTATAGTAGTAGTGAGAAATTTTGATTTTTGAGATCATACATTATAGTTTTAGCATAATTATAACAAAAATATGATGAATAAATTAGTTAATAATAGGTACCTTTTTAATAAACTTATAAATGAATACTTACAATAATAGTAAACAAAAAACACAATTTTTTCATAGATTAAAATTAGTTTATACATTAAATTAAATTAATTTATGAATGTTTCTTCATTTAAACTTTTCCAAAACACCATTAAGTTTTGCATAAATTAGTTTTAATTTATAAGAGATGTTTAATTTAAAAACTTATACTTGTAAATCAGAAATTGAGAAGTAAAATTCATTATGATTTTTAATATAAGATCATAGCATTTTTTTTGTTGGTTCTCTTATAGATGTTCATTGAAAGTTTTGTTCAAACAAAACTTAATTTGATTTTGTTAATTATTCTTCTTATAATGCTAATTAAACAATTATAATTGTTTCATTTGTTGATTCTTTAGCAAAAAAGAGGCAACCAATCTGGTGCCCTTCTTTTATTGAGTCTGGTCATGACCAGTTAGGTAGCCATTGGGGGTCCATGTATGCATATTTCTTAGTTCATTGTGGGTTCATTGTCATCAATTGCAACCAATAACAATCCTCATTTCTTTGTTCATCATTAGGGTTGATGAATTTCTAAATAATTTTTTGCAAGATTTTAATATAACCAACCCACCCCTAAGTGCCCACCACGTCCATTAATATTCTAACATAATATCTAGAATAGATTAATAGATATTTGATAGATATTTAAATAATATGAGATAAATAGGGTTTCACATTTTCCACATTCATTAACAAGTAGTGGAATTAAATGACAAAAGTGCAGAAACTAAGATGAGATCAAACATAAACAAATGGAAAATAACCTTACACAAAGGTATAATGCTTTGTTTGGTGATTATTGAGATTCTAGGTCTGATCTCTTTCCTTCTTATGGCCCACACTGTTAGTCCGTCCACCGTGGAAGCAGAATTAACAATATTGTTGTGTTCTGTTCCACAGATTCATGAATCTGGAAATTTGTTCAAACTCAAAGTGACAGTCTATTCCATGCACTTATTTACTAATATCAATAAGGTCGGTAAAGCAATTGTTATTATATTTATCGCTGTAGCATGTTCAAATTAATTCAAACATGTCTAAAAGTATAATTTTTAGTTATTGGATAAACTACCGTCACAAGAAAAATTTGGTGAAAAGTAAGATAGAAACAAACTTTAATTAGAAATAATTTAACTATATTTATATATATATAATATTTTATTTTAATCTTTTTTATAAAAATGAAATTATAAATTTGAATAGATTTTTAATTAATTTTTATGATTTTTTTTATCTTAAACATATTATTAAGATCAATTATTATATTAATAAAATATTATAAAAGAATGACGAAACGAAAATATGATAAATAAAATAATTGTTTCTCACAAGTTTTTTTTTTACCAATCATATTTTTTGAGTCACCTACCTTTACTCCTAACCCTAGTTTTTCTTTATAATTGTCTATAGTTTAGGATCTAGGTCTTTGCTCACCATTATCCATATTCGATTGTTGTTTCTTATCCAGATTTTTAGTAAATGATGAGATTTTAGATTAGGTTTATGTGGATATGATGAAGGTTAGGTATCTCATCACATGTCTGATCAGTACAGAAATCACTTTTAACATCGGACTTTCCACATCGGTTCTTTAAGAACCGATGTAGAAAGTGAATTCAAGACTTTTAACATCAGTTCCAGATGAACCGATGTAGAAAGTCTTTTTATAAAATTAAGAGAATTATTCTTGGCAGGATTCAAACCCAATACCTTGAAGTTGGAGACTGATACTCCAACCACTAAGCTACCAAGATTTTCGATAATAACTTATACATAAATTATATTTATATACAAATAAAAATGTATATCCATGTAAATATATAAATATAAAATATATAAATACAAATACAAATATATTTATATATTTATATGTTGGATGTGAGAGCGCGCTCGAGTAAAAGTGTGTGTCAAGTGGATTTTCAAAATTTGATGTCAAATTTGTGAGCAAGTTTCTTTATATGAATTTGTAATTTAATGATAAAATATAATCTTTATAATTTATTTATAATAATATAGAATATAATCTTTATAATTAATTTATATAATGATATAAAATAAAGAAAAAAATTATTTTATATCATTATATAAATAAATTATAAAGATTATATTTTGTCATTAAGTTATAATCCATATAAAGAGACTAGTTCACAAATTTGACATCAAATTTTAAAAATTCACTCGACACACACTTTCATCCTCGAGCGCGTCCTCACATCCAACATATAAATATATAAATATCTTTGTATTTGTATTTATATATTTTATATTTATATATTTACATGGATATACATTTTTATTTGTATATAAATATAATTTATGTATAAGTTATTATCGGAAAATCCTGGTAGCTTAGTGGTTGGAGTATCGACCTCCGACTCTAAGGTACTGGGTTCGAATCTTGCCGATGACAATTCTCTTAATCTGATAATAATTCAAATTCTTAAAAAATATAAATAATAAAAATATAATATAAAAGGTTATAAAAGGGAGATGATAGTCTAGGAAACTCTAGATCAATATATAGGGTAATTAGAGATGTGTTATGCATAAATTAAATAAAAAAAAATATTAGACTTTCTACATCGGTTCCTTACAACCGATGTGAAACCGATGTGGAAAGTCACACTTTCTACATCGGTTGTATCTACATCGGTTCTAGAACCGATGTTAAAAGCCTATTTTGTACTAGTGGATCCATAAGTTTGGTCATGTCACGAGGCTTAATTATTTGGATATTAAACAACCCTCCAGCCTTAAGTATTTAGACGTCGAGGCTTCGAAGATGGTTCGACTCTTACTTATGGATCGATATTTCATAGATGAGGCAACTTGGATCATATGTTGTCTTGTGACTTTATAAACTTCACCTCATGTTATTTGGCGGGAAAACTTTTTTCACGTATTATGCTGTCGAAACGTTTCATCTTATCTTGTCATGCACGCACGAGGGTCACGTGTGGTACCCTTTGCCTGTTCGCCTTCTTCGAGCTCTTTATTTTGCCTCACTCATTCGCTTCCTCTGCCACTTTTAATCCTTACTTTCGGGTTATCCTCTTATTGCTTCATCTTCACTTGTTTATTCAGCAAGCTCATTGTTCAAGTATGTTATATCAATTCTCAATTGTCCCTAACTTTTGCTTATTATTTTGTTTCTTTTTGTTGTTGATGCTTTGTCTCCCTTGCTACGTTTTGTCTACCTGAGCAGATGGTTGATAAATCAATAGGAGAGGCGAGTGATGTTCTTGTATATCTACAGACCAAATATGAAATTTTGCATGAAAATTTCGGCTACACATATGCAAAGCTTTTGAGACATTTGCGAAAAAGTCAACCATAGAGTCGTTTTGAAAATGACAAGGATGTGATTTTACAAGTGTGTGAACCTTCTGAGCCCGTGTGCCTAGATCATAAGCAGGATTCAGAGCCATTCTTTTTTTGTTTATGATACTCTGTTTATCAAATTAGGGTTGCGTCTTCCCTTGTGTAATTTCGAGAAGGAGATTTTAATCATGATTAATGTTGTCCCTGCTCAGCTGCATCCGAACGGTTGGGCCTTTGTCCAAACATTTCATATCCTCTCTACCCATTTTAGTGTTGTCTTGACATCTAGCTTGTTTTTTTTTTACTTTTTTTAATGTAAGTCTTCAAAAAGGACATCGTGTGTGTTTGTCAGTGGGGTACATGGTCGAGCCCCTAAATCTGACTCATCCTTAGTAAAAGGGTTTCCTCTTTAATGGACCACCAACCTCCACTTCCAAACTGCAAAGCAGTTGGAGGAGCTGGAGCAAAATGAGGTTGAACATTGCCACATGCTTGAGCAGCTTAACACAATCTTTGACACTTCCACTTAACTTAAATTAGATTTATGAATAATAAATCTTAAAGTATATATAGGTATTGTCTACTTCTCACTTGTCTTTGATATTTATTATGTGGTTCGTCTAATGGCCTTCTGGTTTGTATAGAGAAGCAAATGGCGTTATCCAAGAAAGAAATGAGTTGTCGCTTGCATGAAGCCAAGACTCTTGAGCAATGGTCTACTAAGGCTATGGCGGTCGCAAAGGCGTCTACCCCAATTCAGGTAGAGGATGTAGGCTTGGGCTCTGAGCTCACTGAGAGCGATGCTCGATAGGCTCAAAGACAAAGAGTCATCGTTGTGCTCAAGTCCATCGTTGTAACCTCAACGCCCCCATTGGTGGAAAGGCCCATGGGCCTAGAGGCAGTCGCCAGAGTGTTCCCAAAGCTGAATGAGATGGACAATACTAAGGCGATTCGGGCTCTGCAAGGCTTCCTTGCGATTATTGCCTCTCTTGTCGCTCACGCTGAGAAGAAAGTTATGGAGTCAAATGTGAACACCAAGGAGAGATGGCGAGTTGCGAAATCGAAGAAAATATGAGCAATGGAGAAGTTGGACGAGTTGCTCTGGGCTCAAGTAGTTGTTAACGAGTCGCTTTGAAAACTATAGTTGGAATTGAGCGTGGAGAGGGAATTGCACAAGGCCCTCTACCAGAGTCATCGAGCCGAGGTGGGGTATATGGAAGAGAGGATCAACATATTGGCGAAAGAAAATAATGACCTTGAGCACTCAAAAGATGTTGCTAAGATTGAAATTACGAAAATGTATGTTGTTGGATTCGTAGGGGCTGTGGAGCATATTGTCATGTTGTTCCTTGAGGCCAACCTATTTATAATGGGCACATTTAAAAGTGTGGCGGACAAGAAGGTTGAAGATGAAGAAGATTGATCAACTTTTGTAAATATAAGTGACTTGATGTATTTGGGCATGTAATTTGGTTTTTTTGACATTGCATGGTATTATGAATTATTATGCTTATTTTTCATTTAGTTGTATGATGTCCGCTTGATTATATCGGTATTGTGTAGTGATCGCGTATTATAGAAAAACCTTAACCTCTTTTGGATCGTTGTAGAAGATTCTGACCTCTTTTGAGTTATTGTAGAAAATCTCGATCTTTTATAGGTCGTTGTAGAAAATCTCAACCTCTTATGGGTTGTAGAAAATCTTGACTTCTTATAGGTCATTGTAGAAAATCCCGACTTATTATGGGTCGTTGTAAAAAATCTTGACCTCTTATGGGTTGTTGTAGAAAATTTTGATCTCTTATGTGTCGTTGTAGAAAATCTTGATCTTTTATGGACCATTGTAGAAAATCTCGACCTTTTATGGGTTGTTGTAGAAAATTTCGACCTCTTATGGATCGTTGTAGAAAATTTCGACCTTTTATGGGTCGTTATAGACAATCCCGACCTGTTATGGGTTGTTACCAAAAATCCAACCTCTTATGTAGAAAATCCCGTGTTTACAAAACTTATTAGTTTATTCAGCTTCCTTGGAGGAAAAACCTTGAGGGTGGAAGAAAAAACCTCCAAGGAAAATTATTACATCTGTTTATTCATGAAAAATAAATTGAAAATGTTAACTATAGTCAAACCGCAAGCTAATTGTGTTTCATGTTCTAGGGATTTGTCCATCACTTAGATTTTCAAGCTTGTACGCGTTATTACATAGCACTTCCGTTATTCGATAAGGGCCAACCCATAAAGTAGAGAGTTTATTGTGGATTTGGTGTGGTTGGGCTTGCCACAGGACTAGATCGAATATTCTGAAAGCTTTGGGGCAGACTCTAATGGTGTATGCCAAGGTCACGTGACGCTTTGTAGCCTTTATTCGGATGTGAGCATGCTCTTGTGTTTCTTCAATTTAATCAAGGTCTTCTTTGTTTGCTTGTTTTGATCCCTTTTGCGAAAAGCCAACCACCCATTCTGTGGGTGCAACTACTTCGATGAGAAGCATTGCATCCGTGTTGTATACTAAGTTGAATGGTGTCTCACGGGTTGCTGATAGGGTTGTGGGGTGATAAGACCATAGTACGTCAGGTTTTTTGTTGCCCATAATGCTTTACTCTCCCCTATTCTCTGTTTCAAACCTCTTAAGATGATTTTATTAGCGGCTTCAACCTGTCTATTCATTTATGAGTGTTCGACTGATGTGAATGTGTGGAGTATATGAAATTGGTCACACAATTCGTTGATTCGGCGACTAGCGAATTGTGCACCATTGTCTATGACAATGGTATCAGATACCCCATAGCGATAGATAATTGCTTTCTAGGTTTCATATTCTCTCATTCGAGATTCCTTCTATTGGCTCGACCTCAATCCACTTGGTGAAGTATTTGATAGCCACTACCAAGAACTTTGCCTGTCAAGTGGAGATTGGGAAAGGACTGAGTATGTCTAGCCCCTATTTGATGAACGACCACTAGGATACTCTGACATGCAGTGGTAATGGCAGTCATGTGGTATTCTCGGCATGTAGTTGCCAAGAATCCTCGGCGAAACAACTTCTCTCCAATCATCACAAATCGAGCTTTCCTCTTCTGAAACAAAGCCCTCTAGTACTTATCATCGGGCTTGGTGCTCTCGGTAAAGTAGATGGTGTATGGTTGCATTCATGACCCCTAAACTTCTAGGTACATTATTTAGCCTGCATTTATCATTCAACTATGGGAGAGCACGGTTTCTTGTATGATTGACTTGTGATTTTTGAGTTGCTTAATGCTTGCTAATTTTAACAGTATGTCTGCTCAAAAATTTTGCTCGCGAGGGACATGGACTAGTTTGAAGGTGTCAAAATTTAGTATTAGGCTTTGACTTGATCCAAATATTATGCTAGACATGGGTCGCAGGTTTGGAAACCTCTCGTAACCTGACCGGTGATGAGTTGGGAGTCACTCTTCACGAGCAGGTGGTTGACGCGCATTTCGATGACCAACTTCATACCCACTAATAGAGTTTTTTATTCTGCTTGATTATTGTTGACCTTAAACGCGAACAAAGAGTTTGTTCAATCATTGAATCCACCAGTATTTCATGTATATGCCCGAACCTCAACCTACTTACCAGAGAAGATGACTAGCACCCCCTCAAAGGGTTTCATGGAATCCACCAATATTTCAAGACCTACAAACTTATCCCAATATATTATGTCAATCAAGCTTCCTTGATCAATCAATACCTAATGCACATTCCTACTCATCACTACCACAGTCACCATGACAAGATCATCTTGGTGGGGAATGACATTCTTCAAGTCTGCATTCGAGAACGTGATCGAGTGTCGATCATCTTGTGGTCGACCCGCCAAGTAGGAAACGTGGTACATATTTGTGACAACTCCTGTATAACGTTTACTGGTTGAACTCGTGTGTTCCCCACTAGTGAAACCTTAACAATGATGTTGAAATCCCCGAGTATGGGTTTCTCATGTTCACTTTTGTCTTGTTATGTCGTGTTTCTAGACTCCTTGTTATTGTCTCGTTTGGTTTATCATCGTAAACATCCTTGACGAATCAACTCTTCTTTTTGTTGTATCAATGTGTAGTCTTTCTCCATGTGGTGCCTCCAAGTGCGGTGAAATTCGCACTACAAGTCACACTGATGGTCTAGGGGTCGATCTACCCTCTTGGGGTAGGAGAACAATTATGCCGCATTAACATGACCTTTACTCGCTTTTCCTCCACCCTTTTTTGACCCATGACCTCCTTTACTTCAATGTGAGATGCTACTCGGGTCATGACTTCTGACATGGTTGTCGATAGCCTTTGAATCAATGATTCACTAAAAGGGGCTGACTTTAGTCTTTTTACGAAAGCATCCATGAATATCACTTCATCAGATAGAGACACCCTTATCATTACTTCATAGAAGCGCTTTAGGTATTACTTTATTGATTTCACACTTTGCTGCTTACTAACAAATAGATTGCTCAATCGGGATGACTTGAGCCTATTTGTCGCATATTACGCCAAGATTATGTTGGATAATTCTTTCAACGTTGGTATTGCCCCATTGGGAAGGCTGAACCAATCCAAGGTCGTTGCTATAATGGTGTCTCCAAACATTTTACAACGTACCCCGTCAGATCCTCCACTGATCAACATTTGGGCCCGAGTGGGTCGTCGAGTCGCTCGTTTTGTCAAAAGAACTGATCTTAAGTACTAGGTTGTAGGAATTGGTTCGCTCATGATGGCTACCATGAATGGTTGAAATTCTTCTGTCACTAGCAGAGGATCCACCGGGTCACTCTTTCCTGCCAACATGTGTTAGTAGGTCAGGTGAAGTTCCTCATTCTTTTAGCATATTTGCTCTTGTTCGGGGTGAGCCTTTTTGACCTGCAACCGGGATTCCTCATTTTGTTTTTGTAGTTGTTCTAGCATAGACATCATCCTCTGCATCATGAGATTGTCACCATCTCTTATTGGTTGGGTGTTCACCAGGGTTCCGCGGATGACATTTTTACATCAGGTAGTGGAAAAATAGTTTTTACCTATTCTCCACAGACGACGCCAACTGTTACTACTCAAAAGTTATCTCTTTGACCAACCACATCTCTTGAATCACCTGCTTTTATCTTTAACCCTAATTCTTTCTTTATAATTTTTTTTAGTCTAGGGTATAAACCTTTACTTACCATTATCCTATTAGACAAATGACATTTAGAGAGGGATGAATAGATACACAAATTAAAATAGATGCCAAATTAAAATTATTTTAAATGTCCAATAATTTGTTAATTCAATTTTAAAATGGAAGCGATAATATAATCAGGAAGATATAAGATAAGTGATTAAAAAAAGAAGAGTGATAAAGAGAATATAAGAGCACACAATAATTTATATTGGTTCGGGTATAGTCAACCATACATCCAGTTCCTAGTGACCTCTAACACAAGAGTGACCCTAATTCACTATCTTTCAAATTCAGTTTAGAAATTACAATCAACTCAACAGAGGAACCAGTAAAAAGTAAACTAATTAAAAATATAATCATCTCCTTAGAAACCCACTAAGGATGAACACCTTCCTAGAATCTCACTAGGGATGAACACCTCCTCTGAACAAATCAAAGGATGAAAACACCTCCTTAGAATCCCACTAAGGATGAACATCTCCCTAGAATCCCACTAGGGATGAACACCTCCTTAGAAGTGGATGATCCCTAAACAAATCAAAGGGATGAAAACACCTCCCTGAACAAATCAAAGAGATGAAAGTTTTCACATAGGAAACCCAAAGAAATATAACAGAATAACAACAGTCACTTAAACCATAAACAGGGAATTTAACATCAACTTCATAAGCCCTATAAAAAGGTATTAAGACAATAAAATAACAGCAACCACCTAAACCCACAAAGGATGAAGACAATAAAATAAGAACAATCACACCTGGGTAATGGAGACAACAAATTGTAGAAACTTGTAGAATGTCAACCTCCAAGAACAAGTGTGATTAACAATGAAAGTGCAGAAGACACTAAAGAATAGAGTTTTCTCAGAAGGTATAAATAACTCTGTTGTCTTGCTCAAAATTCTTTTCTTAAAACTGAATGAATGTAAAATTGTATTTTCGAATTCTGTAATTGTGTGTTTTTTAATTTTTCATCAAAATTCATTTAAAGAGGAAAATAACATCAGAAAATAGTCGTTGGTCATTAATACTGTCGTAGAGAAAAATCAAGATGTATTCAAAAATATTTATTCTTCAAAATGGATATATTTTTCAAATATGAACTGTCATAATCAATTATGTTACCAGTATAATCAATTATGACAGAGAGGAAATTGTTTTTCCATTTCTGATGCATCATAATTGATTATGACAGTAAAAAATGTCATGTTACGAAATTTTATCACACTTGTGTTTTGGAGGCTTATGCATAATACTACTTCATCAACTTGTACCTCTAGTATTCTAAGACTCTATCTAGTCTTCAGGAATCATCTTGAGTTTGCTTGAATTTTGAATGTTGTTGACTTGAATCATCATCAAAATCATCTCTTAAAAATATAAGAACATGTTTCACATTATCATCGTATCCATGTTGGGTTTTTGTTTCTTATCCAGATTTTTAGGTAAATAACAAAATTTTAGGCTAGACTCTCGTGGATATGATCAATATTAAGCACCTCATCACATTTTCGACCCATAAGGTCGACCACGTCACCAGACTTTGTTAAATAATAAAAAGAATAAAAAAATCTTTCTAGAAAAAAAAAAGAGAAAATGTTAAGATACCAAAGAAAACCTAAAAAAGACGAAAATACTCTATAGTACTTAACTATTTTTATAAATTATTTATAATGTTGTCTCAAAGTGTATTTTATTATTGTTTAACATATTTTATATTTGTTAGTATCTTATTTATATATTATAATTTTTATAATAAGTTTATCTATTTTCTTTTAAATAATAATAATAATAATAATAATAATTATTATTATTATTATTATTATTATTTTAGGATACATCATTTTCTAATCTTTTATTAGAGATATTAAGAATTATAGTTGATCATAATTTTATCTTAGAAAACGTCTATAAACCAACTTTGATTTTCATTTTAAGGTAGTTATCATATGGATGCTAACAAAAATACTGTGTTAAATAGATAATAGTATTTAAACAACTTAATAAATACACTTTATGTACATTTTTAAAATACAAATATTATGTATGTGTATCGTATATGTACTTGAAATATTATTTATTATTTTATTAATGATTTTTATTGTTTTTATAATTTGATCAAAGTATATAGATTATTATAATAATAATTATTAATATATTCACATTTATAGTAAAATTTGACAAGTTACAATGAAATTGAGACTTTTTATATAATGTATTTATAGTAGTTAATATTATTTAATATATACTTATTTTAAGTTAAAATAAAATAAATTAAAAATTTATATAATTGAGATTTACATAAACACTTTGCTTAAAATATGATACGTCCTAGATCCTTCCTTTAATTGAATTTTATATAAAAAAAAAAGATAAGATAAAAATTGAGGCAAAGTTCAAATTGAACATTATGGCTGAATCAAAGCAAGTAACGATCTTGTTTTTAAGAAAAGAAAAACGATTTAATTATTAAACAGCAGCACTATTAGATATTAGAGTAGCCATATGATAATATAGTAAGCCATTAAAACTTATAATCTCGAGGGATTAAACAAATATTAATTCAGACCATCGCAGAAAACGAGACCGCATCACGTAGAAATGTTGGAATCATGACGCTGGGACAATCGCGTTTGACTCGTCGAAGCATCCGTGTCTCTGTTTGTTTACAAACGCGATTCCTTTACTTGCAAAAGAAAAAGAAGAAGAAAATGGTTGATTCCTTCATAGGTGAATCTTTCAGATACAGACAGAAAACAAATAATAACTTAAGCAATTAATCAACTCATTACTTTTTCCCAGTTGTCACGGAGAATCACAGGAATCGAAAGGCACCTCTCTTTCGGCCAAACTTCTGGTTGCTTCTGCATAGTTGGTAGGACCTGGGCACAACGGGGACAAAATGGTAATTGCAATAACCACAACAAAGTTTGATTCACAACCCATTTTTTTTATAAATAACCTTTACAAAACAATATTATATTATTTTTTAATTACTTTTTATTGATTCATGATTTTTACATTTAGATTAAAAGAAAAAACTGAAAAATAAAAATAAATAATAAAATTTTTATAATTGATTTGATTAATTTAGAATAATTTAATAAATTATTACTTTTAATTAAAAATTAATAAAAATAAATATGAATTAATGATAAAAAAATAATTAATTTTTAAATATTAAATATTAAAAAAATTAAAAATAAATAAATTATTTAAATAATTATTTATAAATCAATTACAATTTTTTATTTCAAATACTAAATAAAAAAATAAAAATTTCTTATTGAAAAAAATAAAATTATACATTAAAGTTACATTATTAAAAAAATAAAATTTATTAATGATTTGCACTCTGCAATATTAATACATTTAAGTAAATTAAATTTTTACTTAAATATAATTATAATTTTATTATAATGAAAAATATAAAACCACACTCATAACATATAACTACATATATCTATCAACATTAATTTATATATAATAAATATAAAAATGTTTTTTAAAATATAATTCATTATCAATATTTACATAATCGATTATCTATACTGATACAATCGATTATTTATATTCATATATTCGATTATATCCTTCAAAGTTTCATGATTAAGGGTTCTTTGCATACAAAGTTTGCAAGGTAAATTATAATTTATGACTAAAACTAAAATCAAAATATAATTAGTTAGCATACGATGATATACATATGTAAACAATAATAAAATAATTTCATATTAAAAATAAGAAAATTATATAGATAAAAATGAATTAAGATAAAAAAGAAAATCATTATTTTGACCATTTCCTTAATTTAACAGTGCGAATTCTGATTACAAAAAAACACAGTCAATTTCATCTTCATAAATATACGTCTGAATGAGCAGTGTCAAAATAAAATTTACCATCTATAGTAAATTTTGTTATATATTTAGATGGAGGTGATCATGTAAAAAAAAAACAAGAGACTCTAATATCATGGGATGGAACTTTTTCAAAAATAAACTCAACCAAAATTACAATACGGCACTCGTTGGAGCAAAATCCTTCGTAAGAAAATCATGCATCCGAGACCCAAAAGCGTAACAAAACTCGGAATCTGTTTACCAACCCTAAAGATCCGGCGGCGAGGCCCGAAACCAAACCCTTCTTAAGGAATCCAAAATTCAATTCCAACACATAAAATTTTGAAGTCCGAGGTTGCCTATAAAAGCGCAATGGAACTTCTAGGTTTTGGCAGTCTCAGAAATCCAGAGAAAGAAAGTCAGGGCAGTAGAGCAGAGGGAGAGAAAATGGGAGGGTGGGCTATCGCGGTGCATGGTGGCGCTGGTGTGGACCCTAATCTCCCACTCGAGCGCCAAGAAGAAGCCAAACAACTTCTCACGCGCTGTCTTAATCTCGGAATCTCTGCTCTTCGTTCCAATCTTCCCGCCATTGATGTTGTCGAACTTGTGGTACACATCGACCTCATACACACATATTCTAATTTACCTCCAACATGCATGGCTTCTTTTTCTCTCGTTTTTTTATTTTATAATTCCGTAAGTAAATGGTAATAGTAATAATAATAATAATAATAATAATTGAATTGTTAATTTGGTGTTTATTTTTCTTAGATTTTGAGAAGAGTGTGATGTGTGTGACAGGTGAGGGAGTTGGAAACGGACCCGCTGTTCAATTCTGGCCGTGGATCTGCCCTGACGGAAAAGGGAACGGTGGAGATGGAAGCTAGCATAATGGATGGCCCCAAACGGCGATGCGGCGCCGTTTCGGGTCTCACCACCGTTAAGAACCCCGTGTCTCTGGCTCGTTTAGTTATGGAGAAATCACCACACTCATACATCGGATTCTCCGGCGCCGAAGAATTCGCTAGGCAACAGGTTTGTATTTTCTTCTAAACCATAACAAACTTGAATCTTTCCTTTCTTCTCATTTGCCATGATACTTGGAACAAAGTAATATATTTTCTTGACAATAGTAGTTCTTTTTGCAAAAAGATCTGACATTTTTTTACCTTTATCTTGCACCACCCATTTTTTTACTCGTCGTATTCGTGAAAGTGTGAAAAATTATGAATATTTTGGCAGGGTGTGGAGGTTGTGGACAACGATTACTTTATCACACCTGACAATGTTGGCATGTTGAAGCTGGCAAAGGAAGCAAACACAATCCTGGTACGTAATCAATGACTCCTAGTACCAATTAACCACGGGATGTTTTGTTTAAATTACGTTAGTAAATGACGCGATTAACTTGCGCCACGTGTGTGATGACGGTGGTGATGATGAATGCAGTTTGATTACCGAATCCCGAGCTCGGGCTACGAGACATGTGGATCTGGTGTGGAGAGTCCACTGCAGATGAATGGACTCCCCATAAGCGTGTACGCGCCGGAGACCGTTGGATGCGTGGTGGTGGACCGGGAGGGGCGGTGCGCGGCGGCGACATCAACCGGTGGACTGATGAACAAAATGACCGGTCGAATCGGTGACTCGCCGCTGATAGGCGCTGGGACCTACGCGTGCGAGGTGTGTGGGGTTTCGTGCACGGGTGAGGGCGAGGCCATCATACGTGGCACTCTGGCACGTGAGGTGGCAGCGGTGATGGAATACAAAGGCTTGAAGCTTCATCAAGCCGTTGATTTTGTGATCAAACACCGTCTTGATGAAGGAAAAGCTGGCCTCATTGCAGTTTCCAACACTGGGGAAGTGGCTTGTGGCTTCAATTGTAATGGCATGTTTAGGGGTTGTGCCACCGAAGATGGCTTCATGGAGGTTGGAGTTTGGTAATAAAGTTCAGAGCTTCATTGCTATCATCATCATCATTATTTCGATGCAACTATTTCACTAGAGTGTATCAAGTTGGAGTGTAGGGTCTCGTTGGTGCTGAATTTAGTTTATTATTATTGTTAGTCTTATTTCTAATAATTACAACAACAAAAAAATGAAACAATAGTATAGTAACTTGTTTTTGTCTCTCATGGAAATAAAAGAAAAAAAAAACTTGTGGTAGACCCTAAATACATCCGTGTAGTTTTTTTCTTCATAGCAACTGACTATGACTTTATATTTTACTTGCAACAACTTTTAATATTTATTATACCTACGTGTTATTATTGGTAGGTTTCTTTATGTATCGTATCCAACCATTCTAACTAGTGTTGCATGGACATTCCATTTGACATGGGAAAGTGCCCTCACCAGAAGCACCCTCCATAATGGGAGGCTTGAAATAATGGTTGTTACATGCTCTACTACTCTTCTTACTTGTCAACATTATATATATATATATATACACTAAGAAACAGGGGTGGACCATCTTGCCCTTGAAGTGTGTTTTTTTATGTGATTTTGGTGAATATAGTAGTACACTGCAACGTGCAGGAAATGGAAATGGAAAACGATGCTTTTGACAACTAAGAAAGAAAGAGATGCATGATACACTATGATTGATTATTCGATGTGACAAAAATATATACAATATAGAAAACAAAATATTATGTAAATTTCTTAAAGCGTATAAATAGGGTGACAAGCAAATGTAAAAGTAATGGCTGGTTGGTGTTGTACCAAGAAAAACCAAATTCAAAAAAAAAAAAAAAAAAAAAAAGTGTTGATGATTGAATGTGTGAACAAATTGTGGGTACAAAAAGGAAGGTTGCAAAATGTTAGGATGATTAGAAATGACCACATATCCGTGGCTAGTTTAAGACCACATAAATGTACAAGGGAAGAGAAGAAACAATGAACCAATAACGTCGTAGTATAAAGTTTCATTCAGTTCATAAAATTGATGCAGGGAATGACGAAAACTAAACTGGTTAAAAGTTATTAGTCGTATGAAAATTAAGGTTTTATAAATACGGAAATGAATAATATATAATAGAGTTATCTCTTTTACTTTTGAGCTGTATAAATAACAACGTGATCACTTTTTATATACTTTAAACACTAAAATTGTTAATGATTTGTGTTTAATTTAGTATTTTTTATAATAATTAATAAATTTTTTTATTATAATATTTTCATTGGTTGGCTGACTTAAAAATTTACACGTTTATAGTATGTAGAAATTAAATTTTTTAATGTATATTATCTCATTTGTATGAGTTGGTGGAATCTTTTTATTCTTTTCCCCTTTCATTCTAGAAGCTAGTGAGAATTTATCTTAGCCAGAATAATGTGCCACAATTAGGAGCTTGTATATATATAGTTAAGTGATGTCTATATATTCTACCCAACCATAACTACTATAAAAATTATTCTTCAATTTTTTGTCAGAAATTTGCCTATTATAAATGTGCATAAATAATTGATTGGGTATAATTATATAACTATAAAATAGTTAAATTTGAGTTTGAAACTTTTTCTACACATTCTTTTTACCCTAGTTTTTTAAAAAGTTCTAAAGGTTGTTTGCATTCACGTATTCAATCACCATAAAGCTATATGAGTTTGGGTCATTGATGAAATTAATGTAAACTCAAAGAAATAAAATATTAAAATAGGGTTATTTTAAAATATTTTAATAAAATAAGACTATATTAAAATAGGATTATTTTTACTATTCCTTAACATATTACTAATTTACTATTTCTAATAGTGGATAAAAGTTAAATATACAAAAGATACGAAATATCAGATAATGACTTCGGACAATTAATTATATTATTATTATTATTATTATTTAACTACAAACAAGTTAAAATTTTGTCCTTACGTTAGTTCTATTCTATTTTACTTTTATGATAATAAAATGAATTGATTTAACGAATTGATAATTTTAATTTATTAATTTATTTTAATTCATTCACTTAATTTGTAGAGATTAAAAATAGAGATGAATCGATAATTTTAATTTATTAATTTATTTTAGTTAATTTATTTAATTTTTAATCGATAAATTAAAAGTAAAGATATTAGTATGTAATATTTATATATTAAGATTAAAGTTAAATTATAAAAATTATAATTAAAAAAATTATATTTTTTACATCATATTGATAAAATATATAAATATAATATTATAATTTAAATTATAAATATTAATCAGTTAAATTTAAATTATTGATTATAACTAGATATTTTAACATATAAATATGATAATTTTAAAGTTTATTCAATAAAAATATTAATTAATAAATTAAAAATTATTTATATAATTAGTGATGATTTTCAAAAATATATAAAAATATTTTATATATAAACATTATTAACAAATTAACTTGTTGTTTGATAATTTAGGATTTAGGCTGTTTGTGGTGGATAAGAGGTGGGATTGGATAAGATGGTGTGAATTGTTCCGTTTTATTTTTTTATTTTTTTATTTTTTCATTTTTGTTAATTTAAACAATATTTTATTTTATTTTTCTTTTAATTTATCTATCTTTCCAGAGAAAAGACAATCTTAATTTTTTTATTGAAATTGATTAAGAATATGAACCAACTAATTAATAAAAGTAATTGAAAATTAAACTTAAATGTATTGTGATATAAAGTTTGATAAAAGAAACAGAGAAAAACTGAATATCAATATTTGTCATCTTATTGATTTATTTATTTATAGTTAATTAAGTGGGACTCACCATACTTCAACATCAATTTTATTAACATCAATTTATTTATATTTAATTTACATATAATACTTAATAAGTATTTCACACACAAACTAGTATGGTATCATTTAAGAGTTAAGAAAAATAATATATATATATATATATATATATATATATATATATTTATATAATATGATGATAAATAAAAGTTTTAAAATAAATAATATAATATGAAAATTGACCTTAACAATTAACAATATATGATGAGACTCTGATATGGAGAAGGTACACCAACTAAACTAAATTTCTTTAGAAATTTGATTTATATGAATTTTTTATAAATACCTAAAAACAGCTATAATGATAATAAAAAAATAAAAAAAATGCCTCAATCTTATGCAATTAAAAAGAGAACTCAGTGTTATTTAAAGAACATTGACGGCGCGTGGAAAGTGATTGAGCGACTGAAAGTTTGTGTCGTATTCGAAAAAATCTTTTAATTAAATTATATTAGTTGTGTTTTTGTAATAATTAATAACTTTTAATTAAATTATACTAGATGATTGATTGGGAAAGACTTATTAAAAGTAAATTTCATAGTCCCATCAGCACATAATAAAATTGCTGTTCAAGCATATATGGTTGAATCTTTAATTTGATTATGGTTGTCTTCACAAAAAAGCCATATTTTCCACGTGTGCCATTTGATTAAAAAGTTGGGACTGAAGTTGGTGCATTTCCACTTTTAATTATTTTAATGCCAGTCTCCTAAACCTAATCAAAAGCCACTCTGAACATTTTCTTATTGATGTTACACGATCCATCTCATTATCTAATCATTATCACCTTATTTATTTACGATCTAATATCTATTTCATAATTTACATAAAAGTGTTTCATTTTTAAAAATCCATTATCTCATAAATCTATGAATTTTTTATTGTGATCTAGAATTCTATAATCGTCAATGTTTTAAAAAAGTTTTGTTTCAAAATAAAAAAATATTGTTATTTTTTCGTTTTTAATATGTTTTATGATTAATTCTCTTAATACCTTCACTAGCATGTTTGATAGATTTATTCAAAGTGTATTCATTTACCAAATTTTGGAGATGTGATTACAAACTATTTGTTATCTTATAAAATCAAAACTAATATAAAGTTATGCTAAAATAAACAATAGTGATTACATTATCCATGTCATTTTGTTCTTCTCAGAAGTTTTGGAATTTATTGAGTCAAATTCAGTTGAAAAAAAAACATATATATAAACATACATCAATCAATAAAAATAATAATAAAATTTAAGTTAGTAAAATAAAAGAAAAAGAAAAATAATAAAAAAAATTTAATAAAAATATAAAAACGGTTCTATTTATATATATATATTTCTAAATAATACATATTTTAATATTATTTAATGATACAATAATATTAATTTTTTATTTATAATTAAGTACATTATTTTATTTATTATTATTAAATTAAAATGTATTTAGTAAAATTTATATTAGAAAATTTATATATTTAATATCAAAATTTGGATAGATGTACATTAATATAATATATATATATATATATATATATATATATATATATATATATTTTATAGCAAGGTAAAAAAAACGCATGTTCTTATATATATATATATATATATATATATATATATATATATATATATATATATATATATATATATATAATAGAAAAGATGAGTCTGTACCTTGTTATTCATTAATGAAGGTTGGATGATGTGATTTTTATTAAAAAAATTATTAATAAAAGTTGTTTAAGAATAAAAATAAAAATCTCATATTTAAATTATTTAAAAATAGAAAAAATTATTTAATAATTTATAATAAAATATTTAATTTTATTCTTAAATAATTTTAATTAAAAACTACTGTACCTTTTTATTATATTATATTATATTATATATATATATATATATATATATATATATATATATATATATATATATACACAGGATTATGAACTTGATTTGGTTTATTTAAATATTAAAACTTCTAAGATTCAATGCTTTGAATATCGATCGCAATGTTACCTTCTATTGTGTAAAAAGTAACCACCATAGGCTATGTATTGATGATGTAAATGACATATTTTTAGATTTTTGTAATAGTTATTTTAAAATTTCTATCAATTTTTTATTAATTATTAATATTAACTGATGTATATATATATATATATATATATATATATATATATATATATA